GTATGGTTTTCTCATTGTAAAGCTCATTAATTAAGTTGTTATTGAATTCAATCTGCCAATTAATGTAAATGTGTGATGTTGTTTTATATCGTTTTTAAATAAACGGCTCACTGTTGATGGTGAGTCAGAAATTAAAACACGTTTCCGTCCACATTTAATTATTCAAAACACGATAGTACTCAGTCCAGAAAAATGAAATAATTTGTTTAAATTATGAATAATATCAGAGACAGATATAGTTCATTACATACTGGTTACATGTTTCTCATTTATTTGTACTAAAAAAATGTCATGTCTGTAAATTTCCAACTTAGCTCTGCAAACTAAACTTTTTGGATTTCAACTTGCCAGGCATCAGTATTTTTTCAATGTTTCATACAATGTGTATTGTGAATAAGATTTGCGTTTGTCCAAAAACAATAGGTTGAACTAGTATTGGTTCACTTTCCCTAAAGCAACACATTTTTCTTCTTTTTTTGCACAAATGTCTTTTAACTAGCTGTTTAGTTCTCATGAAGAATAAGGTACAAGCGGCATCACATCAAAGCCGTCTCTCCTCTAATCACACTTATTCAATCAGAGGCCCTTGTTGGGAGGAATCGATCGTACCTTTTCAGCTGGACAGTGACATCTGTCAATGGACTGTGAGACTGGCTGAGACAGCATCAGGGGACTCTGGACTGTAGCTGGAGGAGGGGATGTCCCATTAACTGTCTTCTTGACACCACACTGGATCAATACAGAAATTTCATCATTAAAAAACCTTATTTTGTAATCTTTCTTGAAGGACAGGGAAATAAAAATCTACAGAATACACAGCAATGCAGCCAAGTTCACCTAAAATAACCTGGCTTTATGCCATCATGGAGTCAGACTACACACTGAAGTAAGAGCCTATTTGGCTCATGACAATTACCCAGGAGTAACTGTAACTTTATACCAGCATGACAGTATGATGATGATATCATGGTAAGGGGTCAAAGTTCATCCTTCCATGTGGAATTACTATAATATTTGCTCTTATTGATTTTAAGGTGATGAAAGATTTTCATTAAGTTTCTATCTAGGGTCACTTGTCCTTTTCAATTGAAACCAATCCTTTGTTGCACTTTAATTGTCAGATCTCACACACACGTGTTGCTACAAGGCAAAATGTTTATATGGGGGGAAAAAAAAAAAAAACTTTTCGGGAATTTTTTTTTTTTTATCTTTCTTTTAAAATGATAAAACTATGGTCACAGGTCACAATATCTCTTTTGACACATTTCAGTGAATAGTCATCCCTTAAATCTAAAACAAAAGGTGGGCTTGTAGATATGGTTTATGCAAAAAATGAAAAACATTTTAAAATGGAAATACATTGTTTTACCTGACTGTTACAATGTCACTATACATTCTGGAACTGCAGAACACATTGACTACAGAAACAGTATATTTACAAGTATATAATTAATTTTCTGTCTCATAAATGTAATAAAAATATTAATGTGAAGCAATCTCTGGAAATAGCTATAGATTGTTACACTTTTTTATTCCTATTTTATTAAAGTCAGGTTTTAGTTCTTTACAAAAACAAACAAAAAATTACCTTATTTTCAACCAGTTCACAACAATTTTCCATCTCAGCCATGTAGGGGTCACAGTAAATGACAATTTTTTTCAGTTCAATCTGTAAAACAAAAGAGAAACTCAAATGATGGACCCATTAAAGAGCATTCATTAGTGTCATTATTACATCAGACCTTTAACTAAACGTTTGTACAAGAGGATAGGGCCCCGGTGCAAAGTAAACAAAAACAATTCCTGAATTATGACTTTAATCCCAAAATTCTGAGAATAAAGTCAGAATTCAGGAAAAATAAACGTTTTTATTTGTTTGTTTGTACTGTGGGATTCAACATGTCTGCTGGCTTCCTTAGATTGAGAACTTCACTAATTGGCTTTTTTATACATGTGAAGGTTTCTGTAATGTGCCCTGAGACAATTTTGTTGTGATTTGGCGCTATATAAATAAACCGAATTGAATTGAATTAATCCTCTTCCATGTTTGTGATTCTCTGTTTATTACATTTTAACTGTTCTAGCTTTGCAACATAGATCACGGTTTTAGATCCACTAATTCGTATTCTATACCCCTTGATCCTGTGCAGTGTCATGGGGGCTGGTGCTTATTTCCAGTGGTTAACAAGTGAGTGGTTGGGGCACATTCAGTTCATCACAGGCCCATACAGAGCCAAATGACCATTCAAGGGCCATATTAGAAAAGCCAATTAACCTAATACAGTATACAGTACTGTTTTTTTTTTTTTTTTGTTTGTTTGTTTGTTTGTTTTGTTTTATGGTTGTAAGGAACCATAGGACGTAAAGAAGTAGAGTGAGAACATGCAAACTCCATGCAAAAAGGCCCCAGCCAGGAGTCAAACTCAGGACTTTCTTGTTTTGGGGCAACTGTACTAACTGTGCACCATGCAGCTAGACAGTTTTCCTATCCTACAAGACAGCCTTAAACATTAACATATAAACACAAAGCCTTGTTAAAATACTTTAACAAGTCTTTATGGGTTTTTTTTCCTTCAAATTTATACAATTTACCAAATACATGAATAAAAGAATCAGCTGTTAATCCTGCTGAATGAAGTCTATTGCACAATATAGGTAACCAAATAGGCAAACTGATATTTGGATTATTACTTTTTTGAGCCACCTTTAAAAAAAACAAAGGTTTATGAAACAATTTTCCATTAATTAGGAAAAAGCTGTACTTGAAGTGATTACAGTAAATATGTAACTGTATTTTCCACCGTAAACGTCACACCACCCTACAAGTTGCATGAGTTCAAATATGTCTAATAAAGTGGAAAAATACATAAATATGTCACTTTGGCATATACGTCGCATCTGTTATGTGTCACCGCTGACACGTTGCGTTTGTTACGCGTCACTACTGACTTCCTGGAAATGTGGGCCGAACCCGGATTTGTGGGCCGGTGTGCCAAAATCGATTGGCTGCCAAATGATTTTGAATGAGGTGGGAGCAAGCACGGGAGGACTTTAACAAGAATTTAACAAGATTAACACTTAATCGGTAAACAAACAATTATTTGATTGCTCGAAATTATAGTAAAGTTGTGTCTCAGTCCAACTTTTCTTTAATAAATGCACTTTGACGGTCAAATCATCTATATTTTCAAAAGCCGATACGCGGAAACATGAACACGTACAGGGCAAGTCGCTGTCCATTTCTTCAAAATTTAACAAGATATACACATAAAAACAACTATTTGTTTGCTTGACTTTGTAGTAAAGGTGTGTCTCAGTTGAACTTTTACTTAATAAATGCACTTCAGTGGTCAAATTGGCTGCATTTTGCCGGGGCGGTGCAATGAAATGAAGCTGATTTGACGGTTGCTCTAGGCAGACGACAGTGTCCCTCTTTGGCAAGTCCATTGTATCATTAATAGTCACTTACATGACACAATGGCATGCCATACTGCTCTACTGTCATCTAGCAGCTGTAAATAGTAGTGTTCAATATTTTCAGTCAGAATGAATGAAAACGGTCACATCCCAGCTAAAAATTGGTTTATAAATATGGGAAAAAATCCATAAATACTTCGCTTTGGCGTATAAGTCGCAGGGCATGTAAATTATGCGAAAAACTGCGACTTATAGGGCAAAACATACGGTGCATGGATTGTACATGATAAATAGTAGAGAAAAAGGCAAAAACTTCAGCATCAACCTTCCATTCATCCATCCATTATCTTTAGCCGCTCCTTCCTTTCCAGGTCGTGGGCATCACTGGTGTCCAGAAGTCACTAAGCAAAAAGGGGTGGACACCCTGGACAGGTTGCAGGTCCATCACAGGGACACAAAGACAAACAACCATCCACTCTCTCACTCACACCTAGGGACAATTTAGAGTTACCAATCAGCCTAACATGCTTGTTTTTGGTCTGTGGGAGGAAACTGGAGTACCCGGAGAAAACCCACGCATGCATACTCCACCCAGAGAGGTCCCCAGCTAGGATTTGATTCAGGGATCTCCATGCTGATAGGCGGCAGCTCTATCAACTGCGTCACCATGCCACCACATCAAACATTAATAAACTAAATATTCTAAAGTAGGTTTTGAAGAGAAAGAAAAAAGGTTAACGTTTTGAAAAGTTTGGTATGGAACATACATCGACGGGCTTTCCATCCTCCACTCGTGTAGTGATCAGTGTGTATCCACTGAAGTCGATGCTGTCCTTCTCATCACTCGCTTTCCTTTCTAATAGAGTGCAGTCCATGTAAAGGGAGATGGAGTTGCTCTGTACAGATATGCTAAGCTTGTGCCACATGCGATCAAAGAGGGCATGCAGGTCACGGCTCTTGAATGTGTAGCGGAGGGAGGTCTTCAGCAGGGTTTGGTAAGAAAACTCCACCACCTTCTTATCACCATCTACCACAACAGATACCTGTGGAGAAAAGAGGAGTATGTGGACACAAATCTCATTGCAAAATATATTTTTGTAAATATCAAGATATATGAGATGAAAAGTCCCCACCTGACTGCTTCTTGACTTGTCGAAAATCTGCCAAAGATACCAACGGTCTTTTTTCGTAGTCCGCCTCACCCGGAAGATGGACACAAGGGAGTACTCACTCGAGAACCCGTCAGGAAATATTAATCTAAAAAACACATTCATACAACAGTCACATTTTAATCAAATAAGGGTGTCCTAACAACTGAAGACAATTTCAGTACCGAAAATAAACGGGAGCTGAAGAATGAGCAGGCCAATCACCCTCAGTGATCAATAAAACATTTTAGTACCCTCTTGATGCAGAGGCATTCCCATAAATAAACCCCAGAAACTTAATTCCATTTAGCGTGATGAATTTTCCTCGGGCCCCCCTGTCATTCAGACAATAAAAGCATACACACATTGATCCAAAGACAAAGAAGGGAGGTTTTTTTTTTTTTTTTTACTAGACCAGAACAGCATGTGCTTCACATTCACGCTTATAGATATACATAACACACTGCAGCTGTAGGTTTACAGTATGTCTAAACATGGTGCATTTATAATGAATGAAAAAGGGGTGAAGTGTTGCAGATGTAAAGCTAAAACAAGGGGTACCAAATGTTTTTATAGGTGAAGAAATGGCCAGAAAATTATGAATTTAAGAAAAAAAAAAAATAAAGTGTTGTTTTATTTCCCCCCTCCCTCAGTTTTCAACTCTCAACATTTTGAACAGTATTTTGGAGAAGGGCTAAAAGTTTAGTTTAAATTATTGTATATCCAGGACATTAGGAACCTCATAAACATTAACCTTTTTATTTATTTAAATAATTTAATTTATTAGTTGTTTTTTTTAAGGTCTATGTGATGGCCAAACCCATGACACTCTAAAGTTGACAAAAGATGGTGGCCAGGGATTAGCACACTTAAATACATGGAGCTGATTGGACTGCACCACCAGTTCCTGCTGGAGAGGGGGAACATGTATTTTCTTTATGTAAGAAAAGAGCTTTTGTATTTAAGTGAAAATTTCCATTAAAAGTTTAGTATTTTTGAAATCCACTTTTGGTGTTTAGTTTATTATCAAACTTAGCTGTACTGTGATGGTTGTTGTATTTAGAGATTGTATTCTGTTTAGTTTTCCCTAATGTGTCTTAATGGTCTGATCAGCCAGTATATATACCACTGTGTGTCTTTCTTTGGAGGTCAGTTATGTTTGTTTGTGCAGCCAGTTTGTTCACATTTTTTTTGCCTGTGTTCAGTTTTGTTCCTTTGACCTCTTTTATGAGCTCATCATTCATTTTTTTGTAAAGTGTAATCTTTTGGGGTTAAAATAAAAGCCCTATTTATCTAATAATTCCTGTGACTCCTCTTGCTTTTCATCTTGGTCCATCAGTCTTTTATGTTTTCTTGTGCTTGAAAAGTTAATGTTTGTTTATTTTCAAAGACAAAAGCCTAAAATGAGTAACTGTTCTTTAAAAAAAAAAAGGGTGGAGCTTCAAACACTTGTTTGAATCATGGACGGCCCAAAATGGTCATCGAAATTCTGAAACGCCTTCCAGCTGGCAGTCAACTACAACAGATTTGTGGAAGATTTGAAGGGACATTGATAAAGTTGATCAACTTGGATGTCGATGATACCACTTTATATTATCTAATCTCTCCCCATGGATTATTTAATCAACTGAAAGTATTCTTTTAAAACATGATTATATTTAGCCTGGCTTTATGAATTATTATTCAGAATTCTACATTGTTGGTAGGTCAGTGAAAGTTGTTGTAAAATAAAGGGGTTAATTATAGCTAAATATTTGTATTGTACTTCATATCGCTTATTTTGTAAAGATTATTTTAATCTGTTTTGCTGTTGAACCTAAACATTTAAAAAGTATCACTATTAAATCTAAAGGTCTACATCTGTATGAATCTTTTAAGCATGTGGATCAAAATTATCCCATTCTTTAGTTGCAGTTGTGGGCCACACAAAATTACTATAAGGGCCGCATATGACACTCAGGCCACACTTTGGTCACTCTTGGCTTAAATTATTGCAAAAAAATATTTTATATTCTACTCTAAATATAATGTTTTTTTTTCTATGTGGCCCTTCATGGAAAAGACTGTGAAATGGATAGATATTCTTATCTATTTACAATCACACTCTGAGTCAAATGGACAACAGTTCCTCTCTTAACCTACATCGAACGCTGTTCATTTTGAACTCTAGGGAATCAAACAAAACAACAAGAAAACCCAATTGTATTATTTAACATACTACAACTCTATCTCTACCCCAGGCTAAAATTGCACACGAAAATAGACGAGTGTAAACATAATAAATCAGTATCTGCAAAAATAAAAACAATGCACTGATAAGGTCATTGAGAAAGCAGAGCACAGCTAGTAGAAGAACGAAGGGATAGACAGCTTCCTTAGACAGGTTGGAAATTAGTTTTCACTCCAATATATCATTTTCCTATTCTCTCAGAGCTTCATACCCCTCTTCTCTTGTATTCCAAGAAATTTTAGTGTAAATGGTACATGACTAACATGACAAGTACACCAAGTAAAAAAAAAAATGGTTAAGAAGGTTTCCGCTACAAGTAGATATTGAAAGATGCATAGCAAGTTATACATATTTTATAGTTGATACAAATACACCAAAGAATATCAAGCTTCAGTACATGTACCTGGATTTTAAAACAATTCATTATGTGTGAGCAGAGGTGAAAAGAGTACTGAGAAATTGTACTCAGGTACTGGTGTTATAAAATACTTAAGGAAAAGTACAAAATACTCTTCTTGAAAAACTACTCATAGTATTAACTTTTTAACCATTTGATGTTTTGTGTTAATAGAAGGCATTCAATTTACTGTAGCCACCACGGGTGATTCTAGAAACTGCCCTTTAGGGGTGCTTGGACTCCCAGTGTTGACAATGGCTCTTAGCTTGAACATTTGGAAATCGGGGGGGGGCACATTGGTGGGGGTTCTGGGGTCCTCCCCGCAGAAATTTTTGAATAAAGTAGATGCCTAAAACTGACAGAAGAGTGCACATTAACTCTTGTTCTTGCCTCCCTGCACTGGCTTCCTGTGCACTTGAGGATTAACTTTAAAATTCTGGTTTTAACTTTCAAGGCTATCCATGGCCAGGCTCCTAAATACATTCTTGACCTTTCTGGATCATTTAACTCCATCTAGGACTCTAGGTCTTTGAGTCAAATGTTGTTGTCTGTACCCTGAACCCATTTTAAAACCCGTGGAGGCAGCGCTTTTCGGGCGGTGTCTCCGAGGCTCTGGAACGCCTTCCCACTGTCCCTACGCTGCACAGACTCTTAAGAATCAACTAAAGACATTTTTCTTCAGACAGGCTTTTACTTAATCTTGTGGTGGTTTTAATTGTCTTGCCTTTGTGAAGCACCGTATGTCTGTGAATGGTGCTATAGAAATAAAGTTTTACTTTCTTAGTTTACTAATGTGTGTACTGCCAGAAGAAACGGCCAATAAACAAACCCTAAACTGGACTATCTGTTGTTTAATGGGAGTACAACTTCATACCTGCCTCTCTAAACCAGTTGATTTCATGGAGAACACCAAACCTCCTCCTTTTTTTTTTTTTTTTTTTTTTTTTTTTAATAAAGAGTTGTCCTCCTGGAAATGAATTGATTCAGAGCGGAAGGTAAGAAGTTGTACTCCAATTCCCTCTATCCGTTTCACTTTGTGTCAAATTGAGCTCGCTGATTGAGCAGCTGCTGACGAGTCCACTGGATTGATTGACAGGTGGTGTTGAGAATCTGACTCGTGCAAAAAACTTACTGGCCCATTTAAGACTGTCAACATTTATTCCATCCATCCATCCATCCATTTTCTTTACCCGCTTGTTCCATTTTGGGTCACGGGGGTCGCTGGTGCCCATGTCCAGCAATCACTGTGCGAGGGGCGGGGTACACCCTGGACGGGTCGCAAGTCCATCACAGGGACACATAGAGACAAACGAGACAAACAACCATTCACTCTCTCACTCACACCTAGGGACAATTTAGAGTTACCAATCAGCCTAACATGCATGTTTTTGGTCTGTGGGAGGAAACCGGAGTACCCGGAGAAAACCCACGCATGCACGGAGAGAACATGCAAACTCCACCCAGAAAGGCCCCTGGACCGGGGTTTGAACCAGGGACCTGCTCGCTGAGAGGCAGCAGCTCTACCAGTTGCGCCACCGTGCTGCACATTTATTCCATATTGGTTCCAAATTGATTCAATATTTTGGTGAATGTAACGTTTGAGAAATTTTTCTTACAAAATCCTAATGATTTCTAACATTGTTAGGGGTGCTTGAGCACCCCCAAAAAGAGGCTAAAATTGCCACTGATGGCTACATCCAAAGCACATTTCTCAGACGAACAATAAAGTATAGAAAAATTACACTAAGGCCATTTCTTTTGTAAACAAATGTAGATAAAGCAGGAATTTTGTTTGTTAAAAAGACAAATGTGTTTGAACCGACAGAACAGTTTGAACTCTTCCAAATACACAGCGAAAAACAGGCAGGTAATTTTCTTAAACTCTGACATTTTTGTCACCCTTCACTTTCTGAACCTTTTGTTCAGTGTCAGCAGGAGCTGGTTTTCTAGTTAACAGTCTATTTGGCTGTGGAGTAGACCAGCACAGCTAAAAAGTTGTTCACATGCAGCAGAGGCAGGGAAAGATGTGTTCAGCTTGAGAGAGAGAGAGAGAGCTTCTTAGGAGTTCAGGAGCTCCATAGTGTTTCTAGCACAAGCATGATGACTATCGAGCTCTGAACTTTGCAGCCTTCTGGACGGTTTGAATATTAAGTCAAATTGTGGCCGTACTTAATGGTGACTTCTGATTTTTAAAAGTAGCAAACATGATCTAAATTGTACTGCAGTGTGAGTAAAATTACACACTTGAAATAAAGACTCATAAAAGTACAAGTATCCAAAAAAAATCTACTTAATTACAGTAACGTGAGTATTTTGTAGTTCATTACTTTCACCCCTGTGTGTGAGTACAATAATTTAAAGCAAATGATTACATAAAGGGGAAAAACTGTGAACCTTGAGGTTTGAACTTATAATTCATATTCAAGGTAACTGAGACAGCAGAGTAAAGAACAGCTTATTTTAGAGCCACAAAATTCATACT